GTTACATAGTCTATCTGTCTTTTCAAACTAATATGGTCCCGACGTCCTCTACAGTGGACATACTGTAACATTTAATACTAAAATAAAATAAAAAAAGTCTAAATTGCAAGATGTTTTTTTAACCCTAAATAGGTAGGAAATCATAAAAAAAAGGAAAATGGAAGACACATTTTTTCCTCGGGTCCCAGAGACATTACAAGACATGACTGTTTATCTAAACCAGGGGTGTCCAAACTTATTTCACCGAGGGCCACATACAGACAAATATACGAAGGGCTGGGCCACTGAGGTGAGGTATATTGCCTCATAAGTTAAGTTATAAGTCAGCAAAAATAAATCAAATGTAGCTAAATGATGCTTAATACTTCAATATGCTTTAAGAAAAACAACAGCCTACATCACAGCTATCCATAGGGTTTCAATTATTTTGTTAGCAACTCATTCCTTAAAACAGAAGCCTCAGATTGCTGATAAGAGGAAATAGGAAGGGTTTATTTCAAGCGTGTTATGAAAATAAGTTATTGGGCTTTTTTCTTATAAATTTAGATTTGATAGAAAACATTTTCAACTTTAACTGACTGAATTTGTTTGAAAAGTGGGCTTTTTAACACATGAATACTGTGTAATATCTGTTTTCATCTATATTTAAGAAGTACAAGACAAGCACAAGTTTCATCTGTGGGCCATATTTCATTATACTTTTTGAATTAGGGCCGTTTCAAAATGGGCCGCGGGCCGCATTTGGCCCCCGATTCGTAGTTTGGACACCCCTGATCCAAACTAATCAGGCCACTTAATACTACCATAGAGTACAACACAATAATTAAAGGCTGGGACAAATGTGAACGCTTTCACCTTTAAAGTACAACATTGACACATGTTATTTTATATCCGAACATTCATCTTTCAGCACCACGGTTAGCTTGCCGCTGCAACGCTGTAAATCATGTTTTTGTTCTCAAAATAAACAATTATGAATAAGATAACTCAGTCACTGTATTGGTACCAACTATCACATCAAAAAAAGCATCTACTATTTCCTTGAATGGATAATGTAGTCTGGCATTGGTGTGCAAAGAGAATACTTATGAGAAGCAGCAGGAGAGATTGAATTATTAAAGCAGAAAAGGAGACATGGGAAGGACAGAGACGAACAGATGGCTAATGAAAAGAAGGATTCCCAGTCTGGAGTGAATATATGTATATACACTGTGCAGAAATAATATAAGAGTGAACTTTCTCTTGGTTTTAAGTCTCTTGACAGTTAGAAGTCACAGATGTAGTCACAGAAATGTCTACTAACGTCCTCCCAATGCATGCTCGGATTCAAGTCTACATGATTTTCTTAGTGTTTTTATGAAAAATATTCAGTTTTCAGCATTTCCAGAAGAGAAATTGACATTTTCCTTATAAGAATGAAATGATGTGCATGTTCAAAAACAACAACAGATTTTGTTGTTTTCTTTTTGTACTGACATTAGGGCAAAACAAAGTATTTGCCACATGCACAAACAAATGGCTTTTTCAGTTTCTGGTGCATGACATTTTAAAAGATGGAAGATCCATATTGATACTTCTGAGATGTTACGACTGGTGCGTGACTTCAGTCACAACATCAAAATATCACCGAGCTGGGTGGGGGTGTGCTACGTCTGAGGTGAGTCACTTGTCATGTCATTAAGGTAAAGAGCAATAATAAACACATCACATCCGCAGATAACTCATGGAAATCTCTCAGGTGTGTAATTGGCAAAGGTGCAGAAACAACGAATATTTGGGCTAAATGTCCAACTTGTATTCAACGATAATTAAAGGAACAGGCTACGAATTGAATCCTTTTTTAAATAAAATAACAGATCAATTGTATAGAAGAATAGAAAAAGTGATATTGCGCTTGAGTAGCTTTGTAATAAATCCTAGTCAAAGATATCATATCAAACTCACCCCTGATTCTGTGGAGCTCATTGCTAAAATACAGAGTGCCAACAGTCCAATGTGCCTCACAGAAACAAAACACACTCGTAGGACTGAGGGACACAGAGTTAATAGGTGATATGTGTGTCCAGAACTTATGCGTCAGCTGGTTTTACGACAGCAGATGTGCACATCAATGAGAACGGGAATCCTTGGTCACATGAGAGCGTGCAGCACTTTAATGTCAGACCAAGGAATTAACACGTTTGTAGATAAACATGAGTCACTTTGAGAGCCTGCCATCTTGTAAAGGAATACGACACTCCTGAAACTTCTTAGTTTAGAATTACAGCTCAGCAACCCTCTTAAAAATCTCTGCTATTTGTCCTTGAGATGGAAAGTCAGGGAAGTATGGAGAGATGGAGGCAGAAAGACAAAAAGAGACAAAGAAGAGAGGTAAGCAATAAGCATACAAAGTGGTAAAATGAAAGGCGGTAAAGTAGGAATGTGGACATTTAAGTAAAATGTAAAGTAACGCTGTAACGTGATAAGCCTTTTATAGAAACCACTCTGGCCTGAGGTCATAATTATTACTTGGAAATAGCAGCCATCTGTTGGAGGGGGAAACTCCAGAGCAACACAGAGTGGCTCGCACCATCAACATATTACATAAAGACAGAAGACCAACAATTAAAGATATTACTGATATAACTTAATTATATGAAGATTAAAATGTACATTAAAATAGAGTGTGATAAGAAACAAAACATGCACACATTGAATTCCTGCACATTAAAAACCAGTCTAAGTATCAACATTTGGAGAAATTAACAAGCTCAATAAGTTTTGAAATCAGATGACTTGACACGATACCACACAAACACAATATCTTAAATAAATACAGTTATTGATTGTTGTTCTGTATGGGATTGCTGCATAGCAACAACGTAGTTCTGGAGAACATGTTGCAAAGCTTCATTCATTTTCAAATGTATACAAGTCTAGTTGGTGCAGATTCATAAAAGGAAGAGAGAATACATTTCCAATACTTAACTGAGGTAAGTCCATTCTGGATGATATTTATTGAAACGCTTCCTCTAATATTCAACAGTTCAGTGAAGAAAACTAATTAAAAGTGTGAGTCCAGAAGGAATTGAGAACACTAAGCATCTTAAATGATGGCAATAGCTAGTCATATCTCCAGTACGGGCTTTAATACTGGTCAGCTTCCCTCATATGGAGAACGCTAAGCCATTTATTTATTGAAAGCACTACATTAGATGTGGATGTTAAACATTTTCCTCAAGTGCATTTTTTCTGACGAATCAAAAAAGTCAACAATTTAATGCAGAGCAACTTTTATTCAGATTTGTTCCTGATTTAGTTTAACATGATAGCCAACACTGTCTCAGGTGTCATTTGTCCCAGTATCATACATTACAATTGCATCAAATTAGGAGGGTATTAGTCCCCTAATACCTCTTGAACAATAGTGTGTTAATTTGGATGGCAGAAACACTTCTCAATGATACTCTGGTCACCAAAATGTTAAACTCTAAATAAAATCACTCTTCCATTTCCTCACAGATATCTGGTCAAGAAAAGATAGTGATGGGGAAATCTGGTCAAAAGAATGATCGCAGTTTCTCTCCCTTTAGGCAAGTCTTACACATATTTAGGCTACACAGATTTATAATTGTTTACTTTTGTATTTTATTTCAAAGCAAACCATACAAGCTAATGCTTCTGAATATATGTTTCCTATCTAACAACTGTTGTGTTAATGACTGCTCAGGTGGAGACGACAGGCAGCAAAGAACAGGAGGTTCTGCATCGTTTGGATCAACAGGATGGTGAATAAACAGGTGGAGAAGCAAACCGCTGAGATAAGTGCAGAACTCCTCGACTTGTGGTATACGCTGACAGAGACGATGTCTGATATTCAGAATCTGAGAGAGATGGTGTCTGAGATTCAAGAGCTTGGAGAGATGGCGGTAGCAGCAAATGAGATATTCCTAAATTACACGAGGCAGGAGCAAGAGGAGAGAGTCCTATTAAGGTGCCACGGAAGAATCGAGCAAGAATACATGGAGGAAAGCAAAGAGGAGGAAAAAGATGAAGCAAACTCTGTGAATTTGGAGACTTTAAGGTATAACCTTTCAAAAAACAAAATTGCTATACATTCAGCCCCTTCGTAGTAAAGAAACCAACATCATCTGAGGTAGAGGAAAGCAAGAACGTCTGCATGTAGAGACAGAATGAAAGCTGAGAAATACTGGAATGATGTTGATGTGTGTTATTTTCTCTGCTGTGGATAACACTTTGCTAATGTGATAATCATGTGCCATATTGCTCTCACACAGTCAGAGCCCTGATATAGGAACCAGTGGTAGAGACACCAGTGACGCCGCTAATGATTCTGTCCCCAGCTCACCGCCAGCTATATTTGAGGAAGAGGAAAACCAAGAGATGTCATCAGATGTTGCCACTGTCGCTGACACCAGCCGGTTAAAGGAATACTCGAGGAATCCCTTTGATCCCGGGTTCACTACCGCGGGACTCGGGTGTGAGGAGGAAAGAGTCAGAGTGGATGGAACAAAAGAGGACGATGAGGAGGATGTGCAGACGGAGAGACAATGGAAGGAATGGATGGACAAACAGGAAATGAGAGGGCACACTTACAAAGTAAAGCAAGTTGACCAACAGAATACTGAAAAACCGAGAGAGGCAGCACATCCACAGAAAGAGGTGATGCAAAACCCAAAAGAGGTCAAAGCTGTGAAAAAAATGAAGACCCTTTTCTTTGACCTCATGAATCCTGTTAAATTCCATAAATGGGAGAGATTCGAAGATGAGGACTGAAGAATCGTCTCGGTTTCATTTACCCGTTCGCCATGCTTCATAAATCATCCAAGATGTTGAGTATTATGTGCAATAATCAGAAATAAAACATTGTAAATAACAAGAACAGTCTCTCTCCGTGTCTGCAGTGTGTTGGTGGAGCAGTGTGTATCAGAGTGATTTATGAGATTGTCCGAGGCGGAAAATGATAGTGGGGGTTTTTGTTAACTTTTTATCCACCGTATAAAATCGCATTTTCCCAAATGACGTGCTTTCTTCACCCCACTCCCACTTTTAAAAGAAACTGGTACATTATGGTCTTGTGTTTTTCAAAAACTGAGATATAGTCAATAGTTCAAAAGGTAAAACCGTTCTGTTCAAATGTTTCCAGACGCCTACATTAGCTTTCATCATGGCAATAAAATATTAACACACATCCATTTGAAAGCTTCCTCAAAACTTTAAAGAGTGTCCATCTTAAAAAGGGACCTATCATGCAAAATGCACTTTGTGATGTCTTTTATACATAAATATGTGGCCCCGGTGCGTCGGGGAACTCATGCAGTGTCAGAAAATAAAACCTTCTCTCTTTTCCTCCGTACCCAAATCTTTTAAAAACGGGTACAACGAGCGGATACAGATTTCCATCCGCTGTGACGTCGGCGGACCCACAGAAAGTTGCTATCAGAAACAATGCCTGACGTGTTTCGGACGTAATCTCGTCTTTGTTTACATTAGCAAGCCTCGCTAACACTCAGAGCTAACCTGTACTGAAGAGCACATGTGTTTAAAAATCAGGAAATAAAAAAAGGAACTCACCTTGTGATAAACCCACAAGAGAAAAAGCATTTGAGCTCCATACTATTTCAGAAATAATCCTTGACGTGGTTTAAACAGGATGGCGTTTTATCACAGCAGAATTTAACTTTATCTCCGGTAGTATTCTGATCAGGCATTAGCTCCGCCTCCTCTTTTTTAATTTGTTTCAAGCTAAGGACCCAAGATCCTCGTTTCTCTAACAGGGCTGCAAAAGAGGGGTTTGAGCAGTATGAGGAATGGCTACAATGAGTGAACTGTTTGGTATTTTGAAAAAAAAACTTCACAGACATGTTTTGTATAGGTATGGCCCTACAATATATTTTTCAAATATAGCATGATAGATCCACTTTAAGTTTCAAAGGTTAGAGTTAGGATCTTACTCATACATGCAATGAGTCATGACAGAGGTTTCAGACTTATTTAAAAACACAGATGTATACTTTTTATTCCTTTAATCAATTGATAAATAAATGCTCAGATAAATTACTTATTGAGAAGGGAGGATTTTCTAGTTGGTGCTCTACAGGAAAAATATGAACACAGCAATAGGCAAGCTAATTACACAGGCTCTTTGTAGTTGAGGAAAAACACAGCAGTAAAGCTTCCTGGCTTCTGCAGTACTCAGAGAGCCGTCCAAGATATGGGATTAGGTAGAGCACCACACTCAGACTGGTGTTAATAACAGCAGCAGTCACTTATATCGTATGCAACCTTGAATTGTACATACAATAAAACTCAAGTGAACATTCACATATACATTATGACTTACAATTTTAATTAAGAAAAAAACCATAATCATCTCCTATCTTTCATTGTGCTCACCACCTCCCTCTCTGCAATGAAACTTGTACATAACAAATTGTTATATTTAAATGTACATGAGATATAAGGTGGTCACTGCAGCAAGAATGTGTAGATAACATGACACATAGCGTAGTTTATTTGTAACATAAAACGGTCAAATAACACTAAAACTGATGCCTCAAAGAAAATATTTCGTTAATGTTTGCACGTTCCCACACGCACTTACACACGCACAGACACACACACGGACACACACAGGGACACGCGCACAGACACACACACACGGACACACACATGGACACACACACGGACACACAAACACAGAAAGGTGGAACTTTTTTCACTTCTGACTGCAAACTCCTTTGAAAAATAAAATAAAAGGTGAGGTTAAACTACGTATCAGGGAGAGAAAAAAAAAACGAAGTGCAGTCATGCTTTTTATATTCATTCAAATTACCTTACCTCACCTCCATAAAGAGACTATGATTTATATGCATGATTGATGTCCAATATCTTTAACTTTTTTAAAGCTATTTTACAAACGCCTCTTCATCTCAAGAGAGTGCAGAAAGTGCAGAAAGTGCAGAAAGTGGCCTTGGTTTGATATTAATGGAGGTTAAGCATCACATTCATCCAGCCAGCAAGCAGCCTCTATAATCAGTCCCTGCCAAGCAGTCTCCCGTCTTCTCTCCAGAAAACCACATCAGCACCAGCAGGTGGCACTAAATACCTTTCAAGCTCCAGACTAATTCAGCAGCAAGTTCAGCAGTGCTAAAGAGGAGTTCACGGTGATGCAGGCCCTTTCTATAGTAAGATAAACACTGATGTAATTCTGTCAGATTCAGACTGAGTTGACCATCAGCTGATCCCCAGGCTGCATGTAGAGGCAAAATGAAAGCGGAGAAATACTGGATAGGTATTGATGTCTGCTATTTCCCCTGCTGTGGATAACACTTTGCTAATTCTATAATAATTTGCCAGATTGCTCTCACACAGTCAGAGCCCTGAGTCAAACCATACCCGGTGAAGATGAAAGCTTCACAGAGACAACCATAAAAAAAACTCATGAGCGTTAAGGGACGGAGTTAATTCATCTAATGCCTTAAATTCAAAAGACCTATAAAAACAATATAGGCAGACGGAAAGCAAAACACATAACAAATGAAAATACAGCTACAACTGAGTTTAATCTCAGTTGTCTATCATAGTCAACTCTAAAAGTCAACTTTTAAGGTCATGACGGAGTGAAAAGACAGATATTGGGTGAAGCGTCACTTTAAAGACTTTAAAGCCTTAAAGACACACTACACTGTAACTGGCTGGCTACAAAATACATTATTAATCCATAATTAAGTACAATTGTTTGGTCTAAACACCACGTGGCTGAATAATTGTCAGCTGTCCCAATATCCGTGAAGTATTTCCTCAACCTCTCCGTCCTTTGAAACATCCCACAGACTGATTTAAGTGAAATTAGCTGGCTGTATCACTGACCACTGCCCTGGAATGATGGTGATGTGTGCACCATCAATGCCACACACACACACACACACACACACACACACACACACACACACACACACACACACACACACACACACACACACACTTCCTCTCTATGATGTGAAATGACACCAACCAATAAAAAATAATGTTAAAATCACAGCAATGTAAGACATTTTCAAAAGATGTATGCCTCTATCTGTATCGTACACATTAATACATATGTTATCATTCAGGTAAAATGACGTCACAGAACAGCACTCTTTCAGTGTCTGCAACCACTGTTATGTTCATTACATCCGACAAGCAGGGAACAAAACAAACCTCGCAATTATGAGGTGCATCCTTCCACACCAATGTATCAGGACAGCAGCATGTCTGCAGGCTGTCTGCCTGCTCCACGTTCACACAAGCTAGCAGGCAAATTATCCTGAATGTCTTTCATCAACTTTGTGAGAAGATTGAATTTGCCACATTGTCTTAACTGTTGTGTATGACCCCAATGTTTATGTCAGGGGTAAAAGAACAACAGGATGGGCTGGAAGTTAGCAACTCTCATTGTTGATCGTATTTCAGTGATATTGAGAGGGTAATGTTAGGTTATCCAAGTTAAAAAAACAAACAAAAATACTATTAAACATACAAAAAGGTAAAGCAATCCATAAGCCACAAGTATTAATCGAAACACAAACCCAACTTTGAATCACCTCAAACCTTGATTCAACCTCTCATATGTGAAGAAAATCTAAAATCAAAGAGAGGTCAAGAAAATAAATTCAAGCAATGCTGTCCCTTTGTCCCATCCACCACACAACCAAAAAAACACCAAGAAGTACATTATTATTGAAAAAAACTCCTAGGAAACTGAAATAAGTACAGCCTCATCTTACAATTGTACTTCTAGGGGGCAGTTTTTCACAGCTAGTGATAATTGGCAGGAAGGAAAGTTGCTCTCTGGGTGTTTCTCAATGTCGAGGACGCTTCCTTGGTAGGACATGTCTTCCGAGTCACTTGCTTCAGAAGCGAGGCAAGAATCCTTCCTAGCCTCGGAAAACGAAGAATGGTGGAACAGGCTAACAGGTGTGCAGGCCCCGCCTTAAATGGAGCGCTATTTCCGCCAAAGATTTGGAAATTGGTCCGTGCGCAAAGCATTGTGGGGAATTTAAGACCGCGGAGGATACACATGTGCAGCCTCGAAATTTCTAGCTACGAAGGACGCCGGGCTCCGTAGAATTCCAAGGAGCCTGGACATTTGAACAGTCCTTCGGCGGGACTCGATGACGAAGTATCCTTGAAATAGTGGCTCTGGAGCATCCTTCCTTGACATTGAGAAACACCCTCTGAGTCAATCAGTCTTAAATCTGTTTACGTCCACTTTCTGTACATCAGGGGTACTCAAACTTTTTTGTTAAAGGTCCACTTGTGAATTTTATACAAGGTCAATGGTCTGGATCAATGCCAGTAAAGTTCCCCTCCCCCCGGAGCGGAGCAACAAAACTGAAATTAAGAAGCAGTTTCGGCACGCTATGCATGGGGCCCCCTTGTGGAGGTTTCGCGACATGCCGTTGCAGTAAATTAAAGGGTGTTTCCTGTTGTCGTTGCTGTGGACCTTCTTAATCTTTTTTTTAATTTATTTTAAATTTTGAAATTGTTATGTTTATTCTGGTTTGTTTTGTGTTTGTATCTTTTATTTTAAATGTATTTATTTATTTTATGTTTTGTGAGCTGAGCTGTGTGATTGTATATTTTATGTATCTCTCTGTACAGCACTTTGGTCTGGAGGTTTTAAAGTGCTATATAAATAAAGTTGGATTGGATTGGATTAATCTACCTTATTTGGGGGTCCCCTTCTGATCCAAGCACTTGCCTGTCGGTAAACGGCGCCCCTGTATACACACACACATTCAATACATACATACATACAGTATGATGGCTTGAACTAGTGGGAGCAATGGCACTGTTTGTCTGTAGCCAATGCCTTGAACCTCGGCAAAAATGGCATTAGAAGCATTGGAAAGTCAAGGTAAACTTGCGGTTCACTTGCGGTCTGCAATGCGTGCCACGCTCGCGCACACAAGTAATATGCAAGTTCATTCTCACAACGCGTCAGACACCAGAAAATATACATTAAAGGGGACCTATCATGCAAAATGCACTTTGTGATGTCTTTTATACATAAATATGTGTCCCCGGTGCGTCTGGGAACTCACGGAGTCACATGGGGACAAAAATTTTCTAAACCCATGCCTCTTTTTCTCTCTACTCCAAAATAAA